CTAAACTGATCAAAATCAAACAATTCAAAGTTCAGGCAATAAAGATAATTCAACAGTATTGGAGTCCAATTGGTTATAGTATCTGTTCAGGCCACTGTGACTAAGGGTCATAGTTTGCTGAATGCCCTGATTCAGTCTGATGGCCTGATTTAAAGAGGTGGTCATTTTTGTAGTCAGTTTGGTAATACAAGTCATAACAACCTGGAGACCCACCTAAAAGAAACATAAAGATTGGAAAAGTTTGGATAGCCAAGTTTTCCTTTTACCATTCAGGATGCCTGCAAAGCAACTGTTGGCTGCTCATGTGGTCCTTTCCCCTGAGAACTTTCTTTAATGTATTCCGTAGAAGTATCTAGAGAAATAGCAATATCTGCCACCTTTTAAATTAAGATTTCTGTAGTAGTTAGCAGAAAAATAAAGTACAACATTCAGTTTTGTTCAGCACATACACAAGAGGTGATCTACAGTTGTATACTGTCCCATTAAATGTTTTTGTTGAACATGAATGGTCTCATTCACACCTTTCGGGGTTTTGTTGTTGTTGCTGTTTGTTTGAGACAGAATCGCACTCTGTCACTCTGGGTAGACTACCATAGCATCAGCCTAGCTCACAGCAATTGCTCACAGCAATTGAATTCAATTCAATTTGAATTCTTGAGCTCAAGAAATCCTCTTGCTTCAGCCTCCTGAGTAGCTTAGACTATAGGTGCCCACCACAACAACCAGTTAGTTTTTTCTATTTTTAGTAGAGACAGAGTCTCGCTCTTGCTCAGGTTGGTTTCAAACTCTTGAGCTCAGGAAATCCACCCATCATCTGTTTGTAAGGAAAAATTTCTTAGATCAGCTGTATTTTAAGGTCTTCAACAGGTACACAGTTCTAAGAGTCTATAAGGGCCCTTTTTGAGTTGAGAGATGTGGATCCAAGATTTGATGCCTGGAAGTTTTGCTGCATTGAACAACTTAGTATTGTCCCTTTCAACAGTGCAAAAGCAATCTTTTTCTAATATCATTTCCAAATGACTCAATCTCTAGGTTCTAGATCATGAAAGGCTTGGTTGGATTTTTGTTTGTTTCTTTGTTTTGGAGACAGTCTCACTATGTCGCCCTTGGTAGAGTGCCCTGGCATCATAGCTCAGAGTATCCTCAAACTCTTAGGCTCAAGCAATTCTCTTGCCTCAGCCTTCCAAATAGCTGGGACTACAGGCACCTACCACAATGCCTGGCTATTTTTAGAGACAGGATCTGGCTTAGGCTGGTCTTGAACCTATGAGCTCAGGCAATTCACTGGACTTGGCCTCCCAAGTAGGTAGGATTACAGGTGTGAGCCACCACATCCAGCCAAAAGGGTGGTTTTATGAACCAGTTTCTTTCTTTCTGGATTGCATCCAGTTAATTTTATCAAATCCAATCAGATCCAGAACCCAGTCCAGTAAAAATTTGCTTAAATAAAGTCAGAGACCCCAAAATACAAATTCATAGAGCTTGAATCCGCAAGAAAACTCTTCCAGGACTCTGCTTGCTGTGACAGATCAATGGGCACAAAAGCCCTGGTGGATACTTTTGTTGGTCAGATGGTGTTCTGGGGAATCTCTGAAGGTCTACTTTGGATCCCAATTCTGATGCCAATGTGTTAAAAGAAAATCTTGAGACAAATTAAATTTAGTAGAGTTTATTTGAGCAAAGAAATGATTTATGCATTAGACAGCACCCTGAACCACTAGCAGTTTGGAAAGTTTCACTCAGCTGTAGTGGGAAGGCACTGTTTATAGACAGAAAAGGAAACTACCATATAGAAATAGCTTAACCAGTCACAGGTTGCTACTTGCCTTATTTGGACATGGTCTGAGCAGTTTTCAGCCAATAATTGACTCAAATTTCAGCTGTGATGAGTAGCTGAGACTCAGCTACTTGTTATAAGAAAATATGGGAGAGGCTC